GCCTGGTATTTCTCAAATCGACAGTCGTCAGAGGCCAAGTGAAGCGTGGGTGGACAAAACTCGACGTCGACTCCGGCCCGTAGCGGAGGCGCTCCTTTTCCGCAAACGATTGTGCTATTGAACTCGTTTGGGGATTCCGTAGTGTCATTAAGTGTTTCACGGTGGAAAGAGTGGGCTTTGTTCATCGGGATCCAACTGTTTAGGATGACATCGTCGTGTTTGAACGTGCAGGAGTCCCCGGACTTCAGAACGAGTCGCGAGTTTATCCCGAACGCGAGCGTGGCCGTCGGGAAACTCGCCTCGCCTGTGTTCTCTATTTCAAAAGGTACTTGTACGATGTCTTCCCAGGCACCGATTTCGTAATTCCAAAGACGTTTGCATAAAATTATAGAAGAGTTTTCCGGGAAAAGCTTGGGATCCCACGCCATCGAGATAACGTCCAATACCGGATCATTGGCCAGTCGAAATGAGTTATTCTCGTTCTTGGCTTGGTGCACGACGTCCAAAGTGCCAAAGGGGTTGTCTGGTTGTATCCCTGGAATTGAAATTTCGAAGAAGATCCTGTCAGTTCCGTAAAACACGGGCGTGAAGCAAAACGCGTTGTCCTTGTCCTGTACGAATGCTTCGACCTTCATGCTGCTGATGGCATCGCCGTGAAGAGCGTCGTGGAATGTGCAAAACACGGTACCTTCGGATGGGAAACAGGGCCCTTTGACGCGGATTTCTTGTCCTCCATCGATGGAAACCTGTGAGGGTTGGGCCACGACTCTGTCGAACTCGGGCACAAAGTCCTCGCATTGGGCCTCACTGGACACTACGCGATTGTCCAATCGGAGAACAAAGATTCCCGGGCGACTAGTGTTTGAGCCAGTCACAAAATTCTCCGCATCCGCAGAACAAGATCCGTTCAATTCCAGGAATTGATTCGATTCGGGGTTCTTGAAACCCGCGAAAACCGGGGTATCGGCCTCGATGGTCTCTTGGATCCAGCTGGAGGAAGGATTATAGTGGAAGATGGCGAAGGAGTAGAACCCGTCTGAAGCCAGGGCCATTTGGAAGTCCCTGAAAACTTCCAGGGGGGCTTCGGTCTCCACGTGATGCCAGGAAATGGTGAAGATCCAGTCTATTTCGAGGAAGTCGTAAAATTCAGGGTAAGCTTCCAATATGTACCTGGTTGCGAGGGCTAGGATAACTTCTTCGTCCACGATTTCGGAGTATGATATTTTCCTTTCATACTTTGAGGTATCATTTACCCAAAATGGAGCTATGATCGGAGGCGTATCCCTTTCCTCGCTGCAAGCCTCCAATAAGAGCCCATCGCTGGCAGAAGGCGGGTCAAATGCTACGTACCCATCTGAACTTATGGCAAGCCTGATGTGAGTGCTTTCAAAGAAATCGAATGGGACTCGCAAATCGATCGTCGAAGAGCAGCTTTTGCATAATGGACCTTCTTCCTCGTTCTCGCCCGACAGTTGGAGGTCCCCATTGCTCACGTGAAATATGCACAGCGATGCAAAAATGAGACCGAAGACCGCGGACTTCATTGCACCCTGAGTCTCTGACCGTGGTGCAACAAATTTTCTGCAGAAGCAGGAAGAGAAAAAAAATTAAATGTCTTGCCAAATGCCAAACTTTTCAGATAAGCAATTCACTACAGTATAAGACACGAATGAACGTAATCAAGAAGCACCATTTTCAAAATTTGTCTCTGAATAAAAAAAACCGACTGCGTCACATATTCCAAGACAGATTTCACTCGCTATTTTCCGACCTTCATGCTTCGAAAAAGCTCATTTTTATTGGCTAAGAATGGGAAATTTGGTAAATAACATTCTCCTCTAATTACGAAGACGTTATAGTTCTCGTCAATTTTTTTTGGACCAATACCATTTATTGTCAAAACAATACAAAAGTCACTCTCGTATTTTCATTATTCCAAAACGAATAGTTGATGGCATCTTAGATTTACGCGCAAAATGCATGACTGCTTCTGACGAACACACAATTTTAGAAAACTATTGTCTAAGTTGAAAAATGGGAGTTTGACAAATAAATTCTCCTTTGAGTACAAACACTATAGTTCTCGCCAAGTTTTTGTGGACCATGATCATTTATTCTCAAATCAATCCAAAAACAACTCTCATATTTTTTCATTATTCCAAAACTATGTTACAGTTGATGGCATCTTAGATTTGCGCGCAAAACGCACGACTGCTTCTGACGAACACAAAATTTCGGAAAAATATTGCCTGAAATGAAACTGAACGAAATCGTGAGACGATTTTTATGTTACGGGCACAATATTAAAATTCCGATTACGTTGCAAAAGTGTTAGCTTATTGATTATGAGTTCACGTCTGCGGCTATGAATGTCGAGATTCGTCTTAAATACATTGCGAGAGCTTCGTCGTCATTAAGTGGAGAATTGACGCACGTTTCGAAAGATTGCTAACTTTCAGGATGACGTGAGATTTCCTTAACGTGTTCGTAAAATGTCTTGATGCAATTTCTGGCTATTGTTTCCACGTGCATCTAATATTTTTCTCGTCAACTAAGAATAATAACACACGCCGAACGTAATTTATACGTCATACGTATTTCATTTCACGCCTGTTAATGAATCGCCACTGACGCACTAATCCATGTCCCGTGGTTTATTAATTTTTCACTTTTGGGCCGAAAATCAATCAGCAGACTTTTTTCCGTACTATGTCCGCGAAATTCTCTCAAGATGTATTTTTATAGTTCTACTTCTATAACCGGGGGATTTTTTGAAGCCTGCTTTGCGCACATAAAATAAGCTATATTTTACCCAAAAATCTGCTGAGGAAGAATATAGAACGGTAATAAATTTCCCACATCTCCCATTCGCTGCCAAATGTATCCAACTTGTTTGTTTTTTTAATAACGCAGACTGAGTCATTTTTAAATTTCATTTCCGTTTTTTTCAAAATTGGCGTAACCCTTTATGGCAGGAAAAGAGGAGGAAGAAAGAAGTCGATTGATTTGAAATCGAGGAAAGTCTGTTCCTGAACTTCCTGCTTCCTTTTTTAACGGAAATCCAAGCAAATGAAATAAAATAAACTGAATACAGTACAGTATTTCAAGACTTCCAAGGAACTTCCAAGCAGAAAATTCACACAAATTAGTAAATATTGAAATATTCTGAAAATATTGAAAAAATAATAATAATAAATGTGAGCCTTACCACGTGAACACGAGAATCAATGGGGTCATGATACACTCATTTAATCGCACCCAGCAAAGACTGCAGCTAAGAATTCAAGCAGATGCTATGGTCTCCTGACCATAAAATCGCACAGAAGAAAAACTTCTTTGCCCCCGATGAAGGCGTGAACATCGCCCTTCTGCTCCGGGCCATCTACGGAATTTTTTGCACAGTTCCATCATTTTCTTCTTCATAATCTCGATACCCAGAGTGTCTATGATTTTTTCAGCGGCTAAGACGAAATCCCCGAGAAATATCTTTCCAGTGACTAAATTCATGATGGCTCCAGGGCTTTCTTTGAACAATTATAATTTCAAGCATATGGTCAAACGCGAACTCCGTTTTGAAAGTCTCACACACATAAAAGAACTGGGAATAATGAATGAATGAATGAACAGAACACTTTATTTGCCGCTTTTCAGCGTTCACAAGATTCAATCAAGATTTCCACAACCAACCCCCCTGTTTGGTATGTTTGCCCTGAATAAGGCATAAGTATATTTTATTTTCGAGGTTCGCCATCTGTTGCTCTGCTGATTCCGATCCTCACGAACTTCATATAGCGGCTTCAGGAGGAAACAGAAAATATTGCAAACGAAAATGTTTGATTGCGTTTGAGTTGAACAATTGAGATCAGGAAATAAAATCGGAAAAATCAAAATGGAAGACTAGGACTGAAAACCAGATAAATGAATATATTCATTGCATATTTGCGACGAGGCACGTGATATAACTATACCGATGCTGAGCTCTGCCAAAGAATTTACATGGATAAATCGAAACAGCAGATGAATCTTTTATTTGAAGAAATTCGGTATGGGGTTACACGATTCCGCGCGGTTCAGCTTGTTATTGCTGCTGTTCTGCGTGGGGAAACTTGAAAATTTAACACCTGAACAATTCAAGGGCTGCTTGTGTGTACAAATTGGTGGTGATTACATTGAGAAGGTGCCTGCCTAGCCTCTTGAAAGTAATGAACATGATAGAAATATTTTTTAAACAATAAAATTCCTTGGTGTTCAGATTACAGTATTACAAGTCCGCCCTGAAACGGGTCCGCGCAGAAACGTGTAACATGTCGTATTCGTGTATAGAGACACTGGATCAGTGAGGATTTGAAGATTGTTCATCTTTTACGTCAGCCTCAATCTTCATGGTGCACAGGATGAGATAATCACATCACACAGTGTAAAGAGTTGAAATATGAATTTACAGATGCATTAGTTGATCAACTAATTTTTTTTTCTCTGTTGAGCCTCGGTGTCAATGGATGTGTTCAGGTGCGCATATGGCGGGAAAAGTCTTTTTTTTTCTTCTGAAAATATAAGTTGGTTTAACCCTTGTGTGCATTGGAGTTGAGGGTTTTCTGCAAAATGTGTTCAAATTAAAAGAAAACATTTATTTGGTTATTTAAAGAGGCAGATCAAAGAGAACTTTACAGTTTTCTCTCTGAGCAGAAAAAATGTTGGGCGAGAAAAAATAGTTGCGAGAAACTAGGTTGGGGGCAGCATTTTTCTCCATCAGCAGTCGTACAATCAAGTGGGGGTTCTATTTAACGTTGCCAACTTTTCTCAATTGACTTCTCCAAAGTCAGCGCAACGTTGTTGATTGTTAAATTAACTTTATGTTCTAAAATTTTGAAATAGACGTAAACTATGATCCAAGCCCTCTATCTGAGGCAAAGTCGCTTGGAAGGTATACAGTACTTGTTTCTCCCCACAAAACAGTACTGCTGCAATGTCTTAGAACTTAGATATTGAAAACTCCGGACTTGAAAATTTTCGAAGGCTTTTTTTGAGACACAGGTACAATAACATACCCAAAGAGACTCGAACAAATGGGAATACAGTATAATGTCACAATGTTTCGGCCGAGACGGTACACGCATTTTCTTCGAAATCAGTCATTTTTACTCTTCTGTTTTGGCTTCGGCTGAGTGGCTTTGATTCCTCTGTAGATATCGTAGGCACACAGTGTAGGGTCGATGACGAAGCCGGAAAACACGTTACCAACGACAGGAACGCAAGCGAAGGCACCGCTAGCGAATTCCCCCACAGCACCCACGTAATCGCCATCTTTGAGGCGCAATATCCCGAAGGCAGCACCCACGAAGAAACCCAATACAGGAGTGGCTTTGACTACTCTTTTGAAGCCCTCCTCAGCTGCTTCTTCCAAAACAGTTTTCAAGCTAATCTGAAGATATTTAAAAGAAAAACACGAGTTTGTTTCTTGTTCAAAATATTAAAAAATTAGGAAGTTCTGCATGGAACATATCCCGTGTGATAAATTTTCATTTTCATAGGATTTTTGATGTTGCTGAAATAGGTTAACAAAGATTCCAAGTGGAGCTTATTGATTTATTGTGAATCTGACTCGACATCCAATAATGAACACAGCAAAGGGAGCATAGCAATTCATGGAGAATTCACAGCCCGAACTTTTAATGATTCCAAAAACTTCAAATTGGGTAAAATGTCCTCTGAGCTTACACCCGTTCCATCCTTCCACATAAATGATGCATGAATTCGCTATTCGCATTACAATATTTTGCTTTTTCATGAAGTTACACGATTTTTCGAATAGATCTATATACAAATCTGTGACGTACGCATACATAACACAGTTAAAATTGAATTACAAGTATATTATTGTACAGTATATCAAAATTTACCTTGTGAACACTGGAAAGTGGAAAATAAGGCTTTCTGTTCATTCATTCATTCATTCATTCACTGTACAATACTTCTGATTTTTGGTCCATTATTGAACATTTCCATGCATTCTTGATTTTATAATCAAAAAACATATCTTACCTTCCCCAAGCCAAGAAGGAAGTTGACACAAGCAGATCGAGTGAGGATCTCGTCATACTTCCTTTTGAGGATTAAAAGCTTCTTTAGTTGTTCATTAGCTTCCTCAAGTTCCGCCCCTGACAAGTTCCGCATCCTGTCTTTCAGCGACTCAATTTGTATAGAAACTTGGTGATACTTTTCCCTCACGATTTCGAGACGCTCTACAGGGGTCAAGCTCAAAGTCTCAATTTTGCCCCAAAGTTTCTCGCAGTTTTCCTTGAAAACCGTCGTTTCGTGCTCGTCTTCCGGATTGAAATATGCATCAATGTCAACGACGAAAAGCTGTTGAACAGAGTCACAATCTGCAAACATCCCGAGTTGATCTTGGAATCCTCTGTAAAGGCTTTCCTGTGTTTGGCCGGTTTTGGAGCGCCTGCGAATATCTGCACTCGAATGAGAGAACCTGCCATGAAGGTTTTCGAAAAGAAAGAAAAAAATACAGGTAGATTTCGATATTTGAATTAGCAAAGCATAATGGTTCGACAAGTATTACCGCGTGAAAATCACAATCAAGTGTGTCATGAACTCGCTTCCAAAAACGTCAGCCATGAATTTAAACAGACGCTGATCCTGACCATCGAATCGCACACACGAGGAATTCTTGACCCAGATGAAAGCATGAACGTTGTTTTCCTTCTCCAGACCTTCCTTGAACCTTTTGCACAGTTCCTCGTTTTTTCCTTCAATGTCGCCGATCCCCGGGGTGTCCATGATTTTCATTGGTCGAGAACCGTTCCGAAGGAAGAATCTTTCTTCGGATTGACAGTCCTGTGTGCAGCTCAATGTTCCAGGACTTTCTAGGAAAACCTTTTCTCCATGATCTGGATCACCGGTGAAAAGAACGTTACACAGAGAAGACTTTCCAGTTCCAGGGGTTCCGAACACCACAATTTTCTTCGAAGTCATAGTTCACATGTAAATTTCTGAAAAGATCGATGAAATATTCGGATTTTATGCAAGGCATGCACAGATTTTATTTTTCTGCTTGATTTGAATGTCGAACTCTTTCACTGCAAAAGCTAAATGTTTTAGTTATCTTTGGAGATTTAAAATAAAAACCATTGTTTTACCAAAATGGGTGGAAATTAATACCGTCGCTACATTTTGAATGACGATGCTTTGTATTTGCTCACAAAATTTTCAAAAATAATGCCTCGAATCGAGACCCTTATTCGATGAACGGAAGTCTTTCATCACCCGAAATTCAAGTAACTGGTTTTACTGAGCAATTGTTCCAGAAATTATTTTTGGGAAATTTCAGAAAAGTGTCTCTAACTCGAGCCAATGTCTGGAAGTATGGCCTGCTTTTTTCTCTTTAAAGTGTCCCGGTGTCCAAATATCAGGGTCTCACTGTGCCACCAAAGGTTTTTATGCTGTCGAACATGTATGAGGAAAGGTCCGTGACGATGGTTACAGGTCTTGTAACAATATAACCACAATAACGGACACCGGATGCCAGACGACTGAAAAGACTCTTGTCGTAATCGACTGGGTCGCCAGAACCAGTGGGGATTGCACCCGTCGACACGCCAACTAACGAACCCAAAAAGGGGACGCCCATGTTGGCACCACTGCTTGTCTGTAAGAAGAGATAAAACGATCGTATAATACTGTATTTTTATATGTTGAGGGACACAGAGTATTACTCTGCAAGAATTGCATTATCTCTTCCGTGGCAGAGCAAGAGTTTTCACTCTAAAGTTGAAAAATTTCAAAATTAAAAAAAAAAATTTAAACTTGGGATTAAAGCCAAACCTGGAAAAAAATTGATGTATGGAAGTTCTCTTCACAAAAGGGAATTTCTTTGATGGGCCTTTGTCAGGGGATTTGAAAAAAAGAATTAGTCGACTGACTATAATTCTTTTTGGAAAGCTTTGAAGAAAGCTTTGTCAATTTAATATCGAGATCCAAGATTTTTTATCCAATAAGAAATGAAGGTTTGGTTGGAAATGAAAAAACTTTCCATCTGAGGCTCAAACCATGTTTGCCAAAGGCTTAAACATATTTAGGAACAACTATTTGCAAAAATTTGATGTTTTTTTTAAATAATTATTACATATTTTAAGCTGCACTAAAAACATTCCAGATGCAAGAGACATCTGGGTGCTGAAGCAGTTACCTAACCTACAAGGGAATTTAATTTTAAAAGTGCAAAACTACATAAGGACTGCAGAAATAAGGGAAGCTGGAGCATCCTCACTCCTTGGATGTTAAAAGAGGACTTCATTATTGTCTCTGATCACAGCTTTCATAAAGACAACAATCACACACACAATCAGCAAATACAATCTTGCATTAGGCAGTAAAAACTTGCTTTCAAAAAGGAATAAAATCAGCAAAGAAAACTTTCTCTGCCTATGGTGCAATTCCCAATGCGCAAACTTCCGAAGCAAATAACTGCAAATTTTGCACTTTTAAAATTTCAAAATATCTTAAATTAAAGCTAATGATGTTTTCCAATTTTTTTAATCATATACAAATTGACCTGATTAAGGGATCTTGAGATATTTTCCCTTTTCTAAACTTAACTTTTCTTTGGTGATAAGAATCTGGAAAACCTTCATTCCAGATTCTTATCCCACTGATGCACGAGCTTTTGGTGCAAACAGTGACTTTAAAAGCCTTATTGTTTCTAAATGCACATGAATTAATTTATTTTTGCAACAAATAATAAATGAAAATGTTGACTCACGTTTCGGACAGCAAGGAGTCCAGTGACGGCAGCGGATCGTCGGAGGATGTTGCCAGACGTTTTTTGAATCTCTTGCAAATTTTCCAATTCCAGTTGGCATTTTTCGAGTTCTGCTCCGTACAGGACCTCCATCTTGTCTTCCAGTGACTTGATTCGTTCACATACATCACGATATGTCCGCTTCGTTATTTCAAGTCGATTTACTGGAGTCAAACTAAATGTCTGAATTTGTTTCCATAGCTTCTCGCAGTTTTGTTTGAAAACCGTCGTTTCGTACTCATCATCCGGATTGAAATAGGCGTCGATGTCCACGGCAAGAATCTGCGAGATCCCGTCGTTATCTGCCATGATGCCGAGTTCCTTCCGGAAACCCTGGTAAAGACTTCCAGACGTTGGGCCAATCCTCGAACGTTTGCGAATATCCTCCACTGAATGAGAAAACCTGTCACGAATGAAATAAAAATGAATAAAATCTCAAGTTTTGCATTATTTCGAACGTTTTACCGCGTGAAAACGACAATCAAGTGTGTCATGAACTCGCTTCCAAAAACGTCAGCCATGAATTTAAAAAGAAGCTGATCCTGACCATCGAATCGAACATTAGTGGAATTCTTGACCCAGATGAAAGCGTGAACGTTGTTTTCCTTCTCCAGACCTTCTTTGAGCCTTTTACATTGGTCCTCATTTTTTTCTTCAATATCGCCGATTCCTGGGGTGTCCATGATTTTTATTAGCCGAGAAACATTCCCAAGGAAAAATCTTTCTTCTGATTGGCAGTCCTGTGTGCAGCTCATTGTTCCAGGACTTTCTAGAAAATTGTTTTCCCCATTATCTGGATCACCAGTGAAAAGAACGTTGCAGAGAGAAGACTTTCCCGTTCCAGGGGTACCGAACACAACGATTTTCTTCGCGTATGAGTTCATCCTGTAAAAATAATTACAGAGTCTGAATTTGAGGTAGAAATAATTTAGTATCGTAGCGTCCTTTTCGTCCTCATCTTATTTCACTCAGTTTCGAAAAACTTGACAAATGAAACAATAACAGTTTCCTTCTCGATGCAAGAGTTTCGTTTATACTTCGTATAGTTCGGAAAATTCAATTGGAAAAATTTTTTTTAACTATACCCAAATTTAGTGTACTGAACTTCAAGAAGCAAACGGATAATTCAATAAATGATGAGCCCCTGATTTTATCTAGTTGACGAAAAAGTACACTCTCGAAATATTTTTTCAATTGCTTGTTTCTCATAATCTCGGAATTTGACACATCATCGATTCTTGGCTGTTCAACTCTAGTGCCAATTCGTTTTTCAATGAATCCTTTCATTTGTATTTGGAATGACAACTTAAAGCACTTGTTCTAAGTTTTGACGTGAATATTTGCGCGTGATATAAAGACGAAAAGAATGCTCACGATATCGCATAAAAATGATGGACTTTTTTCAGTTGAACTTTCTATTCTGATAAAGCAATATTTCACACACGGACGACATACATATGAAGATGAATAAAGTATGGAATTTTGTCATTCAAAATTTTGAAAAGCGCAAGATAATGAGTAGAAGTCTGAATAACCGAGAATAACCTTCAGCTTTTCTCTGAATGCCTCGCGCATACAAAATATCATGCATCCATTTATTCAAATTTTGTGAATACGAAGGGTTATCCGCGAAAATTTTGACCGATTTTCAAACAATATTTTTTCAAATTATAAAGAGGCTCATGGACTCAGTAAAAAAAAACTTGAGAGAAAATAATTTTTATTGCTTTATTATTGGTCTAGCATTTCTTGAGTTCTTGAAACTGTGAAAAATTCTTCACAACGAAAAGTATTTTTAATGAGCCTTGTAGATTTTTAGAACATTTTGGACCAACATTTCGCGAGATACAGCCAAAGAATCCTTTAAATATATTCCACAGCAGATACAGGCGACCATTTCATTTTTTCTTCAACTGTTTTTGGCGATATGAATAATGGAAAAATCAAAATCGAAAATACTGTATACTTAATTAATTGCATGCCTTTAATGCCTCAGTTTTTCTTTAAAATATGCTGATCTCACTGAAATAAGAACTGAAAAAGCATTTTAGCACAGGATGAGCACTCATTCATTCAAAATAGTAGGTTTCCTGAATTAGAATAATATTATTTTAAACATATCTGTATTTTGTTTGAAAACAGCCGTTATTTTAATTCTTAGATTAAACAAGAGAAATTCTGAGCGACATTCTATACATTTTCAACGCTGATTTTACATTTGCTGTGTGAAAAGCTTCGATTTTTTGTTTTTCGATGAAATTTTAAATTTTTCTGCTCGACAGGTTATATTTTTCACTTTTCCGCCGAATATGAAAAATCTTCAGGGCCCACACAGATGCCAGAATGAACTTACAAATTATTTCCGAGAATGTCGAGTTAAAGCTGATTGCTCGCTTTTGGGAAATGCAAACCAATTTCTTTTTTTTTTTTCTTTGACATAATCTGAAAGAACAGTGGCATTGATTTGGATCAGAAATAAGCTATACGTCATCAAAGATTTTTTCGCAATTTCAATGTTCGCTGAAACAATTTTTTCCCCATTTTTTCATTGCAAAAGGAGGAATTGATGAACTGAGTTTTACTGTAATGCTTCCTTTTCGCGGCTGCAAGGATATTTGTGGTTGCTTGTTTTTACGAAGGTCAACTGGGCTCTCAGAGAAAATCGTTCTCTCATTTTCAAAAATAGATATGGAGGAACGCCGTTCTGTTCATTTGAATCAATAGAAAACAGCAGCAAGAGATGATGAGCGCGGATACTCCAGCACCACTATTGCCGATTTTTGGAAATGGGGCATCAATTTGCAACGTCATACGCCACCAAGGCAGCGTCAACGCAAACAGAGACGAGAGTGCCTAGGCCCGGAACGCAAGATGCCGCTCCACTCGCCAATTCACCCAGTGCTCCGACTGAATCTCCTTGAACAATCAAACGATACGTTCCGAGTCCGGCTCCGATCACTGCACCCAGAAATGGGATTTGCTTAGCTGCAACAGTTACCAACCATTTCGTGCTTCCGTGAGTGGCTACCTTGAGTGAGATCTGGAAAAGGAGATCAGGATTAGCAATGTGAGGAACTGATGTCTGCATTATGCTGAAAATGAAGCCCTTCTGCTGGAGAAGTGATATAGGATTCGTCCTCCCATTACAGTACAATACATAAAGTACTGTACTTTACTTTCATCCTATAGAAGTACAATATGGCTTATATACTCTCAGTATCCTTTTGGTACTGTAGCTCTGTTAACAACCCCAGGTATAATATTTCAATAAAAATATTATAAACTTATCAAGAGTGTCTAAATCAGTACTGTTCCCCAACCTTTTTGGGCCTGTGGACTGGCAAATTTCCATAGAATATTTTGCAGACCAGCACATTTCAACCAAAATTCTGGTGATCAGCAAAGTTTCATAAATTTTTGCAGACTCAAAAAAGTTTTGCTTGAGAGACTTCATGGCAGTTTTAACAATTTTCTGACTTTTTGCAAGTATACTAAGTTGAGAACCAATTAAGCAGATAGCCATAGGGAAAGTTTTCTAAAAAAAATTAGAAAGGTGGGCTTGAGAATAATGATTTCTCTGAACAAAAAGTTGATATAATTTACTATATTTCAGCAGGGAATTTTTTCTGAAGTGTTATTAGGAAGAAAGCCAACATTTATTTTTCATCAGATAATTTCAACTGACATATTTTCTTCCAAATATTTCAGATGGAGATACTAGCCTTCATTGCTACTTTTCAAAACTTTATTTTGCCATGGTGCGTGTCATAATAAGTTTCTTGAACAATGTCTATGAGAAAACTCACTTTTTCACATATCCCCAATGTTTTTAGTTGCACCCCGTCTAACGGACTTGATTTGTGCAAGGGATGAGTCTGTTAGACAAAAAGTCCTTTACACAAATTCAATTACATAAAAAATTAAAACTTTCAATTTTCTTGTGATTAAAATTTGGCCTTCTTCAGACAAACCGCCTAAAACAGTGTTGGGCGGGAGGAAAAACTGCTTGCAGAGCTGGTCTGTTTGGCAAAAATCCCTTACACAGGAAGTCTGTTAGGCAGGGGGCCACTGTATTTATATATAAAGAACTGCTTTTTGGCAATTTGATTTTTTTTTTCAAGTTCAGGAATTGATTACATGATCTTTTTTCCAACTGTTGGCTTTTAAATGGATCAGGCAAGCCTAAAAAATTTGATTTTGAGGAAATATTTCTGAAATATGCATATGCAGGTGGTACCTTGTAATTGGACCTCCCACAATTCTACCATCCCGCAATTCAATGGTTGAATTTGCAGGGAGGTTGCAACTGCTGCCCCACAACTTGACCTATTTGGCCAATTTTTGCATTTTTATCTGATATTTTTTCAATTTCACTGGGTCTTGCAATTTGACTCTAGTTTGGCAATGTATTAGGGTCAAATTGCAAGGTACCACCTATATACAATAGTTTTGTCTCTCACCTTAGACCCAGCTGACAGCATTTTCAGAACTCGTAAAATGTTCTCTGTACGCCTGATCTGCTCAAAATACTCTCTCTCCAATTCTCTCAGTGCTTTCAATGTTTCCCGTAAGCGAGCATTTTCCAAATTGTCGATGTCGGAATGATGTTTCAACTCTGCCTCAAGTTCCGCAATCCGCTGTTGAAGGTCTCTGTACTTCTTCTCCACATCCTCGATGTGCTCAACAGGAGTGAGACTGTGCTTGTTTATTTCATTCCAGAGGCTATCGGAATTCATTTGAAAGGCTTTCTTTTCGTCATTGTCGGAGGGATTGAAATTGGCGTCGATATCTGTGATGAATGTCGCATGACCCAAATAGTTGTCGCATAACTCGGTCTTCATTTGCTCCATGTTGCGCCCTGTTCGCCGGCGAATTCGTTCATGATGTTTCGAGTGGGAAAATCTTGGGGAAATAGAGAAAAAACCCTTGAATTTGGCAGAATTGGTGATGGTGAATGGTTTTTAGCGATTATATGTGTCCCACAGCAGTAGTCAAAAAAAAAATTAGCTTTGCCGAGTATTTCAAAGAATTTTGACCAACAACGACATCCTCATTGTTCAGGAAAAAAGAAAAACCAATGCCAAAAATCATCACTCAGTTCTCAAAAAATAAACCTCATTTGTTCCACTTAAAAATATTGTAATCCTAAAATTTTATCTTTACTGTAGAGAGTTTAGTTTCCCCGTAGACTTCAATGGCAAAAAATTAATGCATTCCTTGCTTCCAAAAGACAATTGCAATTATCACATACTGTGCAATAGTGTGTTATCCTTTATCTCATCAAATTCTTTATTACAGAAACTATTGAATCTCCTATAAATGCATGGAGATTTTGTTATTGCAAGAGCTGTGTTTTTGAGTGACTCAAGAACGCAGTTATAAGCATATACTCAGTTTACAAGCCAAAAGACAGAAGAGAAACCAAATATAAAACAGATACGCAATTGCATCAGGACAAAATCAAGAGTTCACATTAAAAAAACACACAATATTAATTTTATTAGGGTTTCAGGAGGCAAGCAATTGGATTTCAATGAAAATTTATTTATTTGCTGCTACATTGTATACTTCATTTCAGTTTTTTTTCAAATTTTGGTTCTTTGTCTAAAGGAGTCAGGGAGCAAAGTTTATCGACCAAAATGTATTTGACCAGGAGCCCAATTGATTTTTATTCTTTACCAAATTAGTATCACCTACTTTTTTGTTTTAGGGCAGCATTCCCCAACCTTTTTGGGCCCACAGACCAGCAAAATTTCCATAAAATGTTTTGCAGACTGGCAAATTTCCAAAAAAAATTTCTACAAACCAGCAAAGTTTCATAAAATGTTTACAGACTAGAAAAATGTTGCTTCATAGACTTCATTGAAGGCATATAAAAGTTTCTGCTTTATTCAAAACTTAAGTTAAGCACCTATGAAGCAGCTATAGCTAAAAATCATCAAAATCTGAAAATGGTAGGCTTGAATTAAGGTTTCTCAGAATTAAAAATAAAAATAATTTATTTCAGCAGGTAAAAATGTGTCTGAAGTGTTACTAGGAGAAAAGCCAACTTTTAAGTTTTCATTAAATAATTTCAAATGCTGCCACCATTGTCTTTCCAAAGTTTTAGATAATGATAACAGAGTTCATTGCTACTTTTAATAGATGTATTATGCTGAAAATTTCCCACGTACTGGCAAAAAAAAAAAAAGCTTCTGCAGACCAGTGCTGATCTGTGCACCACAGGTTTGGGAACTCTGCTATAGGGCATTCGGAATATATTGGCCTCGCAGGTCTTTGTGCAGCTCTGTGCAGAGCTGCAAACCCTGAAATGTTTCTCTAATTCTTTGAAAGGATCTCCTGAAAGAAGAATGTTGCCCAGTGACGACTTTCCAGTCCCGGTTGTGCCAAGAATCACCATGTTCTTCCGCGAAGACATTTTACTCCCTATATGTTCACGTAAAAAAAAGAACAAGAATATTAGTGTTATTACTAAAAGTGTAATTGTACAACCTGGTGAGAAAAAAACTACACAAAATCTTGAAAAGAAATTACAGTGAGACCCCCACATGCGGACGCCTCGACCTGCGGACGATTTGACCTAGGGACACTTATTTTAACATTTAAAAAATCACAAAAAAGTCCCAACATGAGGACATTGACTCAGCATAGGGACATTTTGCAATAAAATTGCAAATAAGTTTCTGGCAAAATTACAAGAAACAGATGTTTCCAACCCTAACATTGACGTAAGAAAAGTTCTTGGGCATTTATCTCCCCAATTTACCATCTATTTAGCTCATTTAAAATAATTACCTCCAGCTTAGAGAGACTTCCTTCTCTCTTTTTCACTTGAATTTTATTTTTACAGAAAATGCCAACACTTCTATGTACTGTACAGATGAGGTATCTATTCAATTCCCCAAATGTTCATATTGTGTTGAAATACATTGATTGAATCAGTTTAAATTGGTAGACAATTTTTATTTTCATGGAATTAGGGTGAGTATTTTGTACATGAAACACAAATTAAAAATTATATAATGTAAGTCTAAGGGAAAATGAGACTCAACTTGGGGACGTTTTGACTTAGGGACACTCTTGATGCACCAATTACGTCCACATCTGGGGGTCTCACTGTATAGCTTCTCTTTGGTGGACTTTATGCAGTGGAACTCAATTTGGCTCTGACTGAGTTTGTTCAGCATGAGAGTACAGTAATTTTAAAAACATCTTTCCATGCGCGCATTCCTATAATTAAATCTTTGATTGGTTTCACACAAAAATGAAAAATTCTCTACACTAATAATCCTTTTGTGAAGGCAAGAATAAGAGAAGAAATTGTCTAAATTGGACAAAACTTTAAAAATAAACCTTTACAGTGGCTTCTTAACCCAATTTTCAAACTTCAATGAGCTTCCTTTAAATGCAATTGGACATATTAAACCAAATTCACCAAAAATAGGGAAAATCTGCAGCTATTTTTCCATAAGAAACCACTTTCTTTCTTGTTACATTCAGCGCTTTTCTTCTCTTCTCCAGCACAGTATCGTGATGAACTTGACTTTAAGCGATTGCATTTGCACCCAAGAACACCCCAATAAGTCCAAGAAACGAACACTTCAATATATTGTACACAAAAGGTGAACCTATGCAAGCATCACAGACAAAGGAGCATGTTCCCGTTTCCGGCTGTTGAACCAACCACTTTTTCTTTTCTGTCCGGGGCAGTATCTGTTCCCAGGGTTAGTTCCACATCATTTCCCAGTTCCAACTGGGAGAGCGCAATACAGTACAGGGTGTTCCCCCAATCCCAACTGGAATGGGTCCCAGATCCCAGTGCAGACAGGGAATATAAAGTGGCGGGCGTGCGGGCCCGGGTTTTCACTGGCTGGGACGCAGCAAAGGGAGCCCAAGTCTGGTTGTAGAACAGTAAACAAATTCCTGGAAAGGGGCCTCCTTAAAATGTGAGAAGTAGGATATTTTCACAAAAATCGGTGCCCATGAGCACTGGAAAAAAAACATTGAATTATTGTTTGTACCAGGGCCTGATGTGGAAAAAATTATGATAGTTTTTCTAATCCTAAAAAAAAGTGCTTGAAGAATTAGAAGAAAAAAACCATCCTTTGGTCAGGGGTGGGGGGGGGGCATTTTTCCTGCATTCCTGGCATAGGACTAGGATTTGATATTCCTCACAACAAAAGGATATTCTTCACCTGAATTTTTAACAACTTAGGCCTTCTAAGCCCATGACCATTTCAATGACCTTTGGTTCAAACTGAAATGTGCTATCCCCTGGAAAAATCTAAACTCCACGAAAAGAATTTAAATGAACCCTCTGCCATATACAAGGTTTTAACCAGCAAAATACTTCCTTGGAAATATGGTACAGTTGGCTTGTAACGTTTGTAATTAATGCTCTAGAGCAATTTGCAAACGCATTTGTGTTGGCGTGTGACAATTTTGGCGTGGTCAAATTTTCTTATTTTCTGAGTTTTTCTTTTTACCAATGGTCAAATTCAATAATTTCTCAACTTTCAAGTCAACTGGAAAATGCTGCAATTCTGATACAGATAGACTGTGTAAAAAAAATTTCAAGTCCACAAAACTCATTCAAAGTTCCGTGTGGAAACGAAAGGCCTTTAGGTCAAGTATTGCAGCTTTTAGCAATATCATGAATGTATTTTTCCTGAGTAATTCATGGTCGCAACTTATAACTCAAAACACATTCAAGTACTGTACAGTGCTTCAAGTGCTTCCTGATTAAAAGAATTTAAAAGCCAGTTGAAAAAGTATTTGCGAAGTACAGGTCAACTTTTTTATGCGGGCGAAATATAATCCAAACGAACACTTTAGGAATCAAGAAAATCATTAGCACCAATTTTCTCAGTAATAAAATTCCCTTTAAAAATTGGCATTTTAAAGGGAATCTGCAATCTTCCCATCAAAGAAGTTTTATGGTAGTGAAATCAGTCCGTGTTCAAGTAAAATTGCTTACGTAGCATATTCTTTATAGTAAGAATTTTCCTCGTTTTTCTTTATTACAGAAACTATTGAATCTCCTATAAATGCATGGAGATTTTGTTATTGCAAGAGCTGTGTTTTTGAGTGACTCAAGAACGCAGTTATAAGCATATACTCAGTTTACAAGCCAAAAGACAAAAGAGAAACCAAATATAAAACAGAAACGCAATTGCATCAGGACAAAATCAAGAGTTCACATTAAAAAAACACACAATATCAATTTTATTAGGGTTTCAGGAGGCAAGCAATTGGATTTCAATGAAAATTTATTTATTTGCTGCTACATTGTATACTTCATTTCAGTTTGTTTTTCAAATTTTGGCTCGTTGTCTAAAGGAATCATGGAGCGAAAATTATTTGACCAGAGGCTCACTTGATTTTTATTCTTTACCAAATTAGTATCACCCACTTGAAGAAAAATCCCTTCGTGAAAACAATACACATGGATTCAGTCTAAAACAATTTTATCCTTTCAATGAATACTTTCCTGGTCTCAGTGGAAATTCCATCCATGTATTACTGACAGCCCTTCTACTTTGATAATACTGGACGTTCTCTGAAAACATGAATATTTTGGGTTTAAAAAAGTGCATTCTTCAAAAAGAAGATAATCAAAAAATATAAGAAATTCACACTTTCTACATAAACAACTCTTTTTTCTGTCTTCCTCAGTTTCTTTGACCATCACTGAAAATTGTTTTAGGGCAGCATTCCCCAACCTTTTTGGGCCCACAGACCAGCAAAATTTCCATAAAATGTTCTGCAGACTGGCAAATTTCAAAAAAAATTCTGCAAACCAGCAAAGTTTCATAAAATGTTTACAGACTAGAAAAATGTTGCTTCATAGACTTCATTGAAGGCATATAAAAGTTTCTACTTTATTCAAAAATTAAGTTAATCACGTATGAAGCAGTTATAGCTAAAAATCATCAAAATCTGAAAATGGTGGGCTTGAATAAAGGTTTCTCAGAATTAAAAATTGAAATAATTTATTTCAGCAGGTAAAAATGTGTCTGAAGTGTTACTAGGAGAAAAGCCAACTTTTAATTTTGCATTAAATAATTTCAAATGCTGCCACCATTGTCTTTCCAAAGTTTTAGATAATGATAACAGAGTTCATTGCTACTTTTAATAGATGTATTATGCTGAACATTTCCCACGTACTGGCAAAAAAAAAAAGCTTCTGCAGACCAGTGCTGATCTGTGCACCACAGGTTTGGGAACTCTGCTGTAGGGCATTCCGAATATATTGTACACTGTTTTTTCAGTAAGTCACTTTGTTCATGAGCTCTTGTTTCAATTCATTCCGAAGTTATTCCGTAGTTTTTGTCTATGGTGCCACAATGTTCAAAACACAAATCCTACATGGAAACAATTCTAAATGGCCTCTCTGAATTACAGGTCAGTATTTTTAAAACCCTCATCATATACTGACCTGGTGAAGACAACAGTGAGGTTAGACAGGAAAGCAGCGCCAAAAATCTCGATCATGATCCGTAACGTGTCCTGGTCTTGGCCAGTGAATCGAGGACTTTCAGCATTTATTGCCCAAATGAAAGCATGCACTTCCTTCTCGTTCTTCAGGCCCTCGGTCAGATTTCCGCGGAGTTCTTCCACGTTTTCCATCTTGTCGCCGAAACCCGGCGTGTCGATTATTCGCACTCGTCTGTCTGTATTTCCGGCAAAGTACCCATCAATGGCCTCGCAGGTCTTTGTGCAGCTCTGTGCAGAGCTGCAAACCCTGAAATGTTTCTCTAATTCTTTGAAAGGATCTCCTGAAAGAAGAATGTTGCCCAGTGACGACTTTCCAGTCCCGGTTGTGCCGAGAATCACTATTTTCTTCCGCGAAGACATTTTACTCCCTGTATGTTCACGTAAAAAAAAGAACAAGAATACTAGTGTTAATACTGAAAGTGTAATTGTACAACCTGGTGAAGAAAAAAACTACACAAAATATTGCAAAGGAATTATAGCTTCTCTTCAATGAACTTTATGCAGTGGAACTCAATTTGGCTCTGATTGAGTTTGTTCAGCATAGGAGTACAGTAATTTTAAAAACATCTTTCCATGCGCGCATTCCTATAATTAAATCGTTGATTGGTTTCACACAAAAATGAAAAATTCCATGCACTGTAAATCCTTTTGTGAAGGCAAGGATAAGAGAAGAAATTTTCTAAATTGGACAAAACTTTAAAAATAAACCTTTACAATTGCTTCAAACCCTCTTTTCAAACACCACATATTAAACCAAATTCACCAAAAATAGGGAAAATCTGCAGCTATTCTTCCCTAAGAAACCACTTTCTTTCTTTTAACATTCAGCGCTTTTCTTCTCTTCTCTAGCACAGTATCGTGATGATCTTGACTTTACGCGATTGCATTTGCACCCAAGAACACCCCAATAAGTCCAAGAAACGAACACTTCAATATATTGTACACGAAAGGTGAACCTATGCAAGCATCACAGACAAAGGAGCATGTTCCCGTTTCCGGCTGTTGAACCAACCACTTTTTCTTTTCTGTCCGGGGCAGTATCTGTTCCCAGGGTTAGTTCCACATTTCCCAGTTCCAACTGGGAGAGCGCAATACAGGGTGTTCCCCCAATCCCAACTGGAATGGGTCCCAGATCCCAGTGCAGACAGGGAATATAAAGTGGCGGGCGTGCGGGCCCCGGTTTTCACTGGCTGGGACGCAGCAAAGGGAGCCCAAGTCTGGTTGTAGAACAGTAAACAAATTCCTGGAAAGGGGCCTCCTTAAAATGTGAGAAGTTGGATATTTTCACAACAAGCCATGCCCATGAGCACTGAAAAGAAAAACATTGAATTGTTTGTACCAGGGCCTGATGTGGAAAAAATTCTGATAGTTTTTCTAATCCTAAAAAAAAGTGCTTGAAGAATTGGAAAAAAAAACCATCCTTTGGTCAGGGGTGGGGGCATTTTTCCTGCATTCCTGGCATAGGACTAGGATTTGATATTCCTAACAACAAAAGGATATTCTTCACCTGAATTTTTAACAACTTAGGCCTTCTAAGCCCATGACCATTTCAATGACCTTTGGTTCAAACTGAAATGTGCTATCCCCTGGAAAAATCCAAACTCCACGAAAAGAATTTAAATGAACCCTCTGCCATATACAAGGTTTTAACCAGCAAAATATTTCCTTGGAAATATGGTACAGTTGGCTTGTAACGTTTGTAATTAACGCTCTAGAGTCTAGAGCAATTTGCAAACGCATTCGTGTAATTTTGGGGTGGTCTAATTTTTTTATTTTCTTAGTTTTTTTTACCAATGGTCAAATTCAATGATTTCTCAAATTTCGAGTCAACTGGAAAATGATGCAATTCTGATACAGATAGACTGTGTAAAAAAAAATTCAAGTCCACAAAACTCATTCAAATTTCCTTGTGGTAACGAAAGGCTTATAGGTCAAGTATTGCAGCTTTTAGCAATATCATGAATGTATTTTTCCTGAGTAATTCATGGTCGCAACTTATAACTCAAAACACATTCAAGTACTGTACAGTACTTCAAGTGCTTCCTGATTACAAGAATTTAAAAGCCAGTTGAAAAATTATTTACGAAGTACAGGTCAACTTTTTTATGCGGGCGAAATATAATCCAAACGAACACTTTAGGAATAAAGAAAATCATTAGCACCAATTTTCTCAGTACTAAAATTCCCTTTAAAAAATTGGCATTTTAAAGGGAATCTGCAATCTTCCCATCAAAGAAGTTTTATGGTAGTGAAATCAGTCCGTGTTCAAGTAAAATTGCTTACGTAGCATATTCTTTATAGTAAGAATTTTCCTCGTTGATTAAGGTAGTCTTTCTAAAAGAATATTGTCTACACTTTTTTTCTCTCTATAATTTTTTTTTTATTTTCCCGCAGTGGTCTTTATGCCTCCTACAGAGGTTCTGTACAACAAAATTCTCTGGACAATGATATTTTTTCAAGTCCCCTGAATTTTGTTCATGAGAGAGACCACAGGCATTGGTGAGAATGCACAATCTTTGACCTTGGCAACACTGACACTTTTGATTCTGATACCTCCCCAGTGAACCAACAGATGAGCTAAAAAAAAGAGTATGTTTTCTTTTACGAACGTTTTTTTCCTGTTCCCCTGAAATTCAGCAAATCTATGTACAGAAAAAAAGACTTTTTCCTCATGTACTTTCACGAAAGCCTTTTGGACCTCGAAATTCATGTTTCAGGTATTCAGGACTTTCAAAGGAGGTCAGACGGAAATTAAATTCAGTGAATTATTGCAAAATATAAATTTTCATCATCAGCATCAGCATCCTCGGATTCTACAGCAACTTTGTATGTCGAGAAGAGAGCATTATTTAATGTGATGAAAACATTGCGTAAGATAACACACGCGCAGCCCTGTAATTTACTAACAATTCTTGTTCATCAGCATCAGCATCCTCGGATTCTACAGCAACTTTGTATGTCGAGAAGAGAGCATTATTTAATGTGATGAAAACATTGCGTAAGATAACACACGCGCAGCCCTGAAATTTACTTAAAATTCTTGGTGTAAAAGTTGTTTCGTCATGGACGGAATCAGATTAAATTTTCTGCCATGGAAAGGTTGATACATTTCTGGGTATCCCTAATGCTTTTCAAATCTTCAAATGTACAGTTTAAATCCGAAAGAATTAAAACAGGACCAATGCATGGATAAACACAACTTGAAAAGAGTAGACTAATTAAGAACAGTTTCGCAGCATGAAAAGGCTGTTGGATAGATGCTGAGAATTTTCATGCCTTTTTGTGATTGCTTTGATGCATGCTTTCCTTCTGACTCAGATGATCTCTATTAATGCATAATTTCTTAATTTCTCTCCAATTAAGATAATTTAATGTTGGAATAAAATCCTGTACATCAGGATCCTCAGAAAAATGTGTCTTCAACCTTCCATCCACTTATTATTTTAATAGTTTCCGCCTTACTTGCGCTGGAAATACTGTACATCAGTACTGCGCATGCATCATTAAATTTCACTAGATGTACTGTTGTGCTGTTAGTCAGGTGTATTATTGTAGTTATAAGTGTAAATGACAGTGCCGATGACCACTCAGGATCCGTTTTGAGTCATCTTCATCTTCATGAGATCATGTGTTCTTATGCAGCATTGAAAGAATAATTAGCTGCAAAAAAGAATGCAAGTAAAGTAAAGAAGTGATGGAAGATGTTCCCTTTATTGTCCGCACAAATATTCTGTTGGCATGACAGTGGCACAAGTGTCATCAAAGCTAGAATTTTCTTTGTAGCATAAAAAATAAATGAGAGGCTGAAATAAACATCAAGCCGTCAGAAAGAAATGAGTTAACCATTGATCAATCAACAAGTAATATAGTTGTTTTGTCCCTTCACTCAATGTCCAATGTCAATAAGGTTCAGAACTTCCAGAGAGACCCAGAGAACAGTATCAAGCAACAAAATGAAAGATTTAAAATCTTATAACTTGCTGTTCCCCAACTTCCAGAAAAAAATAATAATCAGCATGCACATGTTCCGTTCAGTGTACTCTACTGTGATGTGCTATTTTTCTTTGCTGTCTTCCCCAAAAGCTTCTTTTTAATTTCACATGCCAACCCTTCTAAAAGTGTGCTCCATAAACTGGAAAAATATTTCGTAAGACCTGTCACAGGGATTGTGTTCCACTGGTGAATGAGCACTGATGGTCTGGATTTTAGTTAAATTTGAGACAATCTTTCCCGACATTTCTTGATTGTTTCTTTCATTTATTTTTTCAAGGGGAGTTGTTTGTGTGAAGCATGATGCTACGTAGCACGGCACACATTCAAAACTTCACATTAATCATTTCCGTGTCCGAAAAATGACGAAGCTGAAAAGTACAAAGAATCCATTCTTTTTCTAAAATTGCAGCTTTACAATTTTAGGAAAGCCTTTAGGAAAGCAATTCACAAATATCTTGGCTGGTTCGAAGCTTCGCCGACATCCTTGACGAGAAGGGCGCCATCGATGGCCAAAGAGGCGACAGTTCCGGCACCGGGAACCGTCGACACGGCGCCACTGGCCACCTCGCCCAATGCCCCAACAACATCGCCCTTGAAAAGTCGGTAAATTCCGAGTCCAACGCCAATTCCGAGTCCCACCCCGGGAATCTTTTTGCCAAAGGTCTTGGCAGCACTCTTGCCACCTTCCACAGCAGCGATTTTTGTAGTTATCTGTATCGAAGAAAAAAGAATTAGACAAACTGTTTTTTTTCCGAAAGTCGCGCATGACTTCTTGAAAAAAAGGTCAGTCATTCAAAAAATTGAACTCTTGAAACTGTGAGTCCATGCAATGGATTTTGAGCAAAATATACGATAGGCAGCAAACTTCTTACATTATTATCCCTCATTTGGCAGCCATTTCGCCATAAGCAACAAAATCTGCTAAATGAGCAAATCTCAAGTAAAACCAAGCACAAAAATTGGAGAAAAAATAGAAAGTGTGTTTCTTTTTCTCAACTTAAAAAAGGTAATTTAAAATAAGAAATTTTTTATAGAAATTTAATTTCTGTGAGGGAATTATGAAAGAAATCCGAAGAGATAGTCAATTTTTTAAGAGATTTTAATTATTTTCATGCTTTAAATTTACTTTCTATTGCATTCATCTTCAAATTATTGGATGCTCTTTTTTATTCTTCTCTTTTGGGGAATATCTTTCATTTTACTATATTAATGTATTTCTTTTGGCAAGAACAAATTGATTGATTTCTCATATGTTAATGTGGACTTAGACTGTGTGTTTTAATCAATAACCCAGCAGCCGAATACATTATACAGTATTTGTTTCTCAAGGGCCGTACTGAACATGATTTCAACTGGGAACGAATATATCCTCAATTCTCGTTATTATGAGAATTTTAATAAATATAGTTGACGTCATGGCCTGCGCAGGTGAATCAGAAACTTCGGTAAATTCCGAGTCCAACGCCAATTCCGAGTCCCACCCCGGGAATCTTTTTGCCAAAGGTCTTGGCAGCACTCTTGCCACCTTCCACAGCAGCGATTTTTGTAGTTATCTGTATCGAAGAAAAAGAAATTAGACAAAATGTTTTTTCCGAAAGTCGCGCATGACTTCTTTAAAAAAAGGTCAGTCATTCAAAAAATTAAACTCTTGAAACTGTGGGTCCATGCAATGGATTTTGAGCAAAATATACAATAAGCAGCAAACTTCTTACATGGCAGCCATTTCGCCATAAGTAACAAAATTAACTCAAGGAACAAACCTCAATTCCAACCGAGCACAAAAATTTGAAGACAAAACAAGAAAATTTGCTAATTTTTCTCAACTTAGAAAAAGAAACTTATAATTTTTTATGGAAATTTAATTTATACAGTATGAGGGAATTATGAATGAAATCCGAAGGGAAATTCAATTTTTGAAGAGATTTTCATTATTTTCAAGCTCTCAATTTACCACGATCATCTTCAAATTATTGGCTGCTCTTCGCTTATTCTCCTTGGTGATTTTCTTTCATTTCATTATATTAATGCATTTCTTTTGGTCGGAAGAAATTACTTGATTTCTCATAGGTTAATGTGGACATGGACAATGTGTTTTAATCAATAACCCAGCAGGCGAATACATTAATAAACAAAGAGTTCCCGGCATGACTTGTACTAAAGTTGACCCTTGCTTATATAGGAGTTAAGAGCAATAATACTCTTAAAATTATTTATATCAACTGCAGTACCGGACGCGTCCACTTAGTCTTTGTTGTCAAATAAGCACACCAAGGCACAATATGCAAACCCTTACGGATTCGTAAGCATTCGTCAAAAAAAAAGTTTGAAAGGCCCCGACGAAGAAAGATGAGTGGACGCTTGGTCGACGAGTAGTTTTTATTTTCAAGATCGAATAGAAAATGTTAGAAAGTTTAATAGTGCCAAGATAAGCCCCGTACATCAATGAAATTTAGATGTAATTCCTTAGGTCACTATTTAGTGGCGTTCAGGGTTGGGTTCAGGACCCAAAAAACAAATAATAAAATAAACTTACCTTAGCTGCAGTGGCGGCAGTTGCAGCCACTTTTAATCCTGTTTTCGCAGCCTCGCCAATTTGCCGACCAGGACTGCGGGACCTGCTTCGTGACCTTCTGATTTCTTCGATGGTGAAATGTACCCTGGTGAAGCAGCGATTGTCAGCACTGTACTTGAGCCCTTTTTCAATCATTCCCAGGACTTGTGAGGCATTGAACCCGAATCCTCCAGAAGATTCATCCGTGTCAATCAGTTCATGCAACAGGTCCGGAGGTGCCTTGGTCGGCTTCATGTGCACCACAACGCCTGGAAAGTTGTTCCAAAAGGTTGAAGGATAGAAACTAGACGAAGCTCAAAATGTATGCCAAGTTGATCACGGTAATGTATTTTGAATTTTCAGCTGAATGGATTAAAAACAATATAATACATCTCCTTGAGTTGAAGCAGAGGCTTGACTTCCTTTTGTTGCGATCTGGTTATCCACAGTAATATGACGTGGTAGGAGTCACTTTTATAATGTCCACCATGGAACGTTAAACTGATGGGACGTTTAACAAAGAAGGTGTTAAACTGTTAAAAATTTTGTGGGAGGTCAACTTGCAATCTAAAATCTGCCCCACGTAGAAAGGAAAAACATCAAATACAATGTATAAAGTATCAAATATAACATCATCTTGCAATTCAACTGCTTCACAATTTGACCGTAATCCAGCAACTGATCAGGGTCAAAGTGCAGGGCACCATCTAAATGAGGATTATTCTGGGAATATACAAACAAACCTCAAGAAATCAAAACCAATGAAAATATTTTAGTATCATGGAAACTTTTTCAACGCATGAAGAAATGTTGGGTGTCATGATGACACAAAACCAAAAAGTTTCAATACATTCATCCAAGTGCAAAAAATGAGCCCTTGCTGTTCTTCACAGGAATGAGCCAACATGGTGCAATGAAGAAAAACACATTTCTGTATTGTACAGTGCATTTAGAGTTACTCCACAAAAAAGAAAATAAAGTCAAACTCTGTTCAGATGCCCCCCTGATAATCAGCCACCACCCTTGCAACTGCCAATTTATTTATTTTAAAAATCTTTCCTAATTTAAAAAATTGGAAACCTTGCTGAACCAACATCCACTAAAATTATTAACTCAAATATGCTCCTGTCAATTAATTTTGGTTTTGATATCCCGCCAAATAATATTATAATTTATGCAAGAGGTCTCTGATCAGAATTATAAAAAATTCACCAACACAAAGATGGAATAATTTACTTCTTGCAAGCATTACCTAGATACAGTCAACCCCCGTCTAACGGACTTGATTCGTGCAAGGGACAAGTCTGTTTGACGAAAAGTCCTTTACACAAATTCAATTACATAAAAAATTAAAAATTGAACTGAAGGAAAACAACGCTAGACCAATAGGTGTCATTATACTGCACCATCCTCAGTGAAAATATTACAGGTGGTACCTTGCAATTTGACTACCCTGCAAATTGTTTCTTCCACAATTTGACAATTGAATTTTGTGGGAGGTCAACTTGCTATCTAAAATATGACCCAAAATTTGACTCTTGTAGAAAGGAAAAACATCAAATGCAATGTACTGTATATGTATAAAGTATCAAATATAACATCATCTTGAAAGTCAACTGCTTCACAATTTGACCGTAATCCAGCAACTGATCAGGGTCAAAGTGCAGGGCACCATCTAAATGAGGATTATTGTGGGAATATACAAACAAACCTCAAGAAATCAAAACCTATGCAAACATTTTAGTATCATGGAAACTTTTTCAATGCATGAAGAAATGTTGGGTGTCATGATGACACAAAACCAAAAAGTTTCAATACATTCATCCAAGTGCAAAAAATGAGCCCTTGCTATTCTTCACAGGAATGAGCCAACATGGTAAAATGAATAAAACCCCATATCTGTGTTGTACGGTGCATTTAGAGTTACTCCACAAAAAAGGAAATACAGTCAAAATCTGTTCAGATGCCACCTGATAATCAGCCACCACCCTTGCAACTGCCAATTTATTTATTTAAAAAATCTTTCCTAATTTAAAAAATTGGAAACCTTGCTGAACCATCATTCACTAAAATTATTAGCTCAAATATGCTCCTGTCAATTAATTTTGGTTTTGATATCCCGCCAAATAATATTATAATTTATGCAATAGGTCTCTGATCAGAATTATAAAAAATTCACCAACACAAAGATGGAATAATTTACTTCTTGCAAGCATTACCTAGATACAGTCAACCCCCGTCTAATGGACTTGATTTGTGCAAGGGACAAGTCTTTTAGACAAAAAGTCCTTTACATGAATTCAATTACATAAAAAATTAAAAATTTCAATTTTCAACATTAATTTTAAACCAAAAGAAGTCTGTTTGGCGTTCTGTTTGGCGGATTTTGTCTGTTGGGCGGGAGGAAAAACTGCTTGCAGAGCTGGTCTGTTTTACAAAAATCCCTTACACAGGAGGTCTGTTAGGCGGGGGGCCACTGTATATGATTTTACGCATCCTGGGGTTATTTTGATTGTTTTCTAGAAAAACTTGAATTATATTTCATAACATAATACCTAATTTCCATTTTTTTGCTTTTCTGATAAAAAACCAAAAAATGTGTACTCAAAATTTGTACTCATCTATGAGACACCCCTTTCTTCTGTCAATTTTGAGAAAAAAATGTTGCATGTGGTACTTGGATAAATACTGGCATTTAAATCATCCAAGCCTTGCTGGCACTGAAATCCATGATGAAATGAAACTTACCGGCATGACTATTACTGCCCACTTGAAACTGGATATTAAGCCTTGGACAAGGGCCATTCAAATTGTACTTTTCCTGGTTGTCGATGCGGTTATGGGTGCTTCCTGAAGTCGGTACGATCGTGTATGCGAAATCCATGGGTCTATTTCGAGTGTAACAAAGCCCCATCGACGTCATCTTGTAGAGCAGAGACTGCAATTCCTTTTTGTTGCTGTTTGTGCTGGGGGTCAAATTCGTCGTTGGTGACTCGCTTTCCAGGTACATGGTGATCTTGAAGGATCGTCCACGCACTTGCTTTGATCTCACGGAGAAATTGATAATCATTTTTTTGAGATTCGAATCGAATTGCTTTTCCTGTACGGGGACAATGTTTAGTGATCAAATTTGGCTCGTGATGGTTATTCAAAGAAATCATTATGTTCTATGATAATAACGCATTCTGATCTCCGAATTCTAGAAGCACTTCGAATTTTTCGGAACCCGGCGAGGGTTTTGCACTGTATATAATTAAATGAAACATGATAAGATCATCGCATCACCGCACGACTGAGGTCCTCGGCTTCATACTCATCAACATTTTTACTATTGTAGACTGTATTATGAAGAACAGCGGGTTTCACAATAAGCTCATTGTAAAGGATTAATTCTTGCACTTTTGTCTCGCAGAAGATCACAATACAGTATGCAAACATTGGCTTCTTCAATCAGCGAGAACACCGTTCTTGGGTTCAGCATTGACTGATGGGATATCACATCACATGAGCGCAATCTTTCCTGTATCGAGGCTTCAAATTCTTTGTGGGCAAGTTCACAAATGAGCTCTTCAATATCACCAGCGTCAAGACGTGGAATGAATGATTCACTCTGGAGCAAGTCAAGTTCACACTGGTTCCAACAGATTCCCATGGGTGAGTGTGAGGTGAAACTATTGTACATGCAGCAGTAGGGAATTCAAAAAAAAAGGGGTAGAAAGCACATCTGTCTTCCACACCCTTGCTTCCCCGTGTTATCCCGTCTCTTACTAAATCAGGCGCCGTCCGAAACGCGACGGCGTGTGAGAGGCATGAGGGAGGAGGTGGTTCGGTGGAATGGCTCCCATGTTTCAAGTCAGGTTTCTTAGCAAAGGGTTTTCCTGAATACCAGTCAAGGCTGGATCTAGTGTCATCCTCACATAATCACACAAAATTCCATGGAATAAATCTCCCTCAATTGTATTTTTAACCCTTGTGCAGCAAAGTTGGAATATTTTTGCAAAATTTTGAGAGTGTAAAAATTTTGCTTTTGTACCAAGGTGTAAGTTGGGGAAAAGTCCGATGCAGCATTTTTATTTCTAATCCTGAAAAATAAAAGTTTGCCTGAAAAATTAAAAATTACTCACTCTGGGGAATTTTTTCTGCAATCTTTAGGTATTGGATATTTCCCAAGAGTACCAAGACGATAGGATCAGCATTTTTATTTCTAATCCTGAAAAATAAAAGTTTGCCTGAAAAATTAAAAATTACTCACTCTGGGGAATTTTTTCTGCAATCTTTAGGTATTGGATATTTCCCAAGAGTACCAAGACAATAGGATATTGACTGTAGTTACACAAGTACCCACATGAACCTTTTTTCTCCAAATTGAGAGGGTGCATAAAGGGGGGTTAATTTCATGTATAAATGTGTATGAAACAAGTTTTAAAAGCTTATCTGTGCAATATATTGGATTCTAATTGACATTTTTGGCCAATTTCAATCGAAAAATTTACTGTATTATTGTAATTGAAAATCTGAGTCAAAATTTGGGTGCTATTATTTTTGTACATTTGCAGTTTTATAATCAGTGAAATGGGGTCTGAGTCTTACTTGGGGATAGAATGTATGCAAAAAATTTGACTGAAAAACTCTGGGTGCATGTATTTTCTGAGGGTGTTCGCTGCCACTGCTACTTGAATAAATGTGGTATTCTCCACCGGGATTTTTTCCAACCCATTAGCATTAATTTCCGTGACCGGAGGTCAAACTGAAATATGCATCCCTTTTGAAAAGTCTCAACTCCACTGCAATACTGAACGGCTCTATCTACTGTCCAAGGGTTAGGAACACCCCACCCCCAGTTTGTGCCAACTTACTTAGTGCCACAAAAATGCCATGTCCTGGATGAACAATCAGCCAAAGCTAAAAACATAAAGACATTTCATTTCTGTGCCACAAAATGTGCCTCAACAAATGATGGCAATCAATTAAGGTTTGACTGCAGTAGTTTGCCAGTCCAGGACTATATCACTCAACTAAACTGCAAAGTATTCACGCAGTTGTTCTGTATTGGCGATAAATGCACTGTGGAAGGGAACACACACAAAAGGGATTGCCTTAGCTCAGCTCACTGAAATATGAGTAAACCGCCAGTTAGCTTGATACTCTCCTTGCGGAGCCCGGTGCCAGTTTTGCACCGAAATTCGTTGTCTCTTAAGAGCCGTTGAAAATGAACCTGATGCAATCGGTTTGAAACTTTGGAACTGATGATGTAAAGTTCGGGAGAACTTACGGTTTGGAATCTACGACTCGAACAATTTCCGTGTGACGACCACGATGATGCAATGAATACCGAGTTTTGCGAATAAGTTCCCAGTTGACTCTGGATCCATCACAGGAGCTCTTTGAATTTAAAATGTATTCTCA